CGCAGCAGCAGCAGCAGCGGCGGCGGCGATCAGCGCGCTGGGCACCAGCACCAGCACCACCATCCCATCTGCAAGATCTGCTTCCAGGGCGCCGAGCAGGTAAGGCCCGGCGGGACCCCGGGGTGGCTGGCTGTGGGCACCGGCTGGGGCCGGGCGGGCTTCCGCTCGAGGTGGTCAAGCCTTCAGCACCAAGGACAGAGCACGCCTCCCAGTTGGAGAGGCTCGTGTAGTCCTGCCTGGTGAGCATTGGTTCCTGTGCGTGTCCCCCATTCCTTTTTGGTGAAGGCAGATAAAAATGTCCCAGTGGCGAATATAAGGGTTTAATTTAATTTGATCTACACTTTTTTTTTCCTGCTTGGTTTGGTAGCTACACGATTCTCAGGTGCTTAAACGATAATACCTTAAGTATTTATTTGAATTTGGTTTACACAGAGAAGAAAACCTATAGGATGTAAAGTGAGGTCTGTTTTCTACAGATAATCGTGAGTCGACGGATAGTCTCAGAATGCAGACTGAGAGTGAGTCATGTCACAACCAAAAAGAGTAGCTTCGTTCCTTCTTGCAGATTTTGGTGACTTAATCTTACTGATGTGAAAAGCTCGTTACAGTTTTTAAAAGCCACGCAGGAATGTACTTTGAAAGAAAGGCTATTTAGCCAACCGTGTATTTTATGTTTTGTTAGAAACACGGTTTTAAAACCGTAAATACCTTTAGAGGTGCGCGCAAACTTTCATGAGAGTGGTCACAGGGAAGAGAGCACAGTGTCGCTTACGGTATGTGTGGTTTGAGAAAACATTAGGTTTGATATTTTTAAAAGTAAGGAAATTGCATAAGAATACACAGGCTTTCAGGAATGTAATACCCTGAGTCAATATTTATGATGCTACATTTAGAAAAAATAAAAGCATAATGCTCTTGCAGGCCGCTTTCTGGGATGCCGTGCATTGCTTCTTAAGCAATGATTAAGAATAACTGCAGAGGAAATGCATCTGACCATCCACTTAAAAGTTATTAAAGAGATTTAATAGTACAGCTTTCCCCCGAGGGTATTGGGAGCTGTATCTTGCAGACATTTTGCATGTTGCTAGAACATTTATGTCATAACTCTAAGCAATATCTTTGAAATAGTTTTAAGACTTTAGCTTCGTTCCCATCAGAGGTATAAAATTTTAATTTCATTTTCTAGGGTAGAGCCTGATGCTCATATCCTTCTGGGTAAATGGTTTTGAAGGAAAAGAAAAGCAATAGAGTTTTAAAATACACAGACAAAACTATTCACACCGGGCCGTTTTCTTTCTAGGGTGAGCTGTTAAATCCTTGCCGATGTGATGGGTCAGTGCGGTATACCCATCAGCTGTGCCTGCTGAAGTGGATCAGTGAGAGAGGTTCCTGGACCTGTGAGCTCTGTTGTTATAGATACCATGTCATAGCCATTAAAATGAAACAACCCTGTCAGGTAAACAGCTACGACCATTTATTTCTTTTCTGAAATAATTTTGTTAACCTGGGTGCACTTGAGTTTAGTTATCACTTATGCTGCTTAAAAACGTTTTATGCAAATCAGAGTAAAATCAAGATTTAGAATTTGTAGAGATATGTTTAGAGAATGCGATGACATTTTATCTGAGAAACTCAAAAGACGTTACTGAAATGGTAAATTAACAAAGGCCCTTGATTCATTTTTTATTTATTGGTCAAATTATACCCATCCTCCTTTCTAAAGGGGCAAGTTGACACAATGTTTATTACTCCACTCGAATCAATTTCATTAATTAGAAATGTTACATAAATAGTTTTAGTAATATTTTTGTTAATTTAAGCATTTAAGCCCTCCATTTATGGAAAACAGGAGCAAGGAAAGCAACACTTACTGGCATGGAAACTTTGGTGGAACCTGTCAGTTCTACTCTGAATGTTCTTTTCACTTAGCCAAGCTTTCTTTTTCATACGATGTCTTTTCACAGTTAAGTTTTGGCTGCGTTCATTCTTTGCTGTGTTCAACCACATAGTAGACATAGCCATAGTACCAATAATTACTCTGAATAATACCACTGTATGCATTCTTCAGCTCTTTGTGTATGATCACAAAATAACACAATGACCATAATTTTGCAAACGCCCTGGGAAAAATACATATATTTTTAAAAATGTATGCTAGAATTGATTCAGGTCCTCTGAGTAGGCTGGTGGAACACGGTCATCAGAAAGAGAAGCAGAATGGCGTGTAAATAAGATCCGTTAGGCTGACGTTAAGCAGAAATGAAAGAGAAAGGTCGGAACTCAGAGACGGAGGAATCGGAGGAGGAAAGGAAGAGGGAATCCAGAGGTTGGGAAGAGAAAAAGCAATTTAGCATTCCCTCTTTTTGTCTAAATCACGCAATTTGGTTTTCATTGAGCAAAACGACAGGTGAAATTGTTAGTATTTGTAGAAGGAAGCTGGAAGCTGAGTTGCTACTGCATTAATAATTTACATTTCATAATTTTAAGTTAGTGCATCCTTTATATCGTTGGCAGTTAATTTGCATCTTTGATAGTTGCCATTCAAGGCAAGATTAGCAAGCACGAAATGAAAACATACATTTCTCAAGCTGACCTGAGGCATAGAAATGATTTGGAAAGAGAAAGTAGTAACTAACGTGGATGTGCGATATTGTCATACTAGAGACAGGCATATACCTGATGCATTTTCCTGGAACCTCTTATTGAGTCAAGTACTTGGGTATAGTTTATGAAACTATCATCATTGTCTTGAAAAGCACATGAAACCATGTTCAAAGACAAGAATGTGGGTAGTATAATTAGATCTAGGATAATTTTACGAGTAGAACTATGTGAGAAGATAAGAAAAGGGAGAATTTTGGAGTTCCAGGGAAAATTCCCATTAGAAGAGCTTTGGTCAGATGCTCAAGGGCTGAAACAGTATGCTAAATATTTCAAAACATTAACTCATGGCTGCCGTATATTAATTCACTGAAGGTGATTAATTTTGATGTAAATAGAAATAGATCCTGATGTACATTTTAGAACAGAGAAGAGACAGAGAACTAGGGCCAAAAAAATTATTATTCACCAATTCCAATCCGATAACAAAAGTAATTGATTACTATTATCTGTTGCTTCATTAAAAAAAATCAATAATTATTTTAATGAAAGCAATTCTCTAAACTATGAGTATATATACGGCAGCTCTCAGAGCCCCCCCAAAAGAAGCAAAAATGAATCCAGTATTACTAGTACATTTAGGATTAATTTTGTTATAATATATATAAATACTACTGTGACCTGTAATCTGATTGTTGTAATGATCTGCAGAATCATATTTAGAAACAACATTGACATGAATGTGATGATGATAGCCAAGATTATGCAGGAGATGAAATAATTTTCCAGGACTACATGAGATGCAAATAAAGTTTGGTGCCCTTACTAGACAGAAATCAGTTACGAAGTTCTCTAAGTGCAGATTTTTGCATATAGTAGTGGTTTATTTTCAGACAAAGTTTAGCTGTATCCGACATTTCTGTTAGGGACAACTCACAAACTGGCAGTCGTTCAAACTGATTTTTTAGTTTGTAGTTTTTTTCTGCCTTGCTGGTATGAGCTTAATCAGCTGGGAGCCGTGGTTTCTTGGATATAGACAGAATAAAGAATAAACACCAAGATTAAGAGAGAACATTTATTGAGCACTTACTCTGTGCTGGGCACTGTTCTCAGTATTTTACATACATGGATACTGATATTTAATCTTCATAACAAACCTGAGGGGAGAAATATTATCTCTATTTTGTTCGAAAGGAAACTGAGGCACAGGAAAGTTCAGTAACTTCTACTAGGTACCTATGTAGTAAAAGGTAAAGCCAGGATTCCAACTTAGGCAGCCTGGCTCCAGGGTCTGTGGTTTTAGCCACCATGTTGGAAAGTTTCTTCCCCAACCCATCCCAGTCATCTCGATGTTTCAGATCTATGTGACTTGTCCTAATATAAGTCTGAGGCAAGTGGGGACTGGTTTCAGCCTGAGTCTCTGAGATGATTTGGAAAGGGTTTGACTATTGCTATGTAACAAACCGCCTCATAACTTAAAGAACAACTGATGTTTGTTATCTGTTAAGACTGTGGATTAATTGAGGTCAGCTGGGAGGTCTTTCTCTCCATGTGGCATCAGCTGGAGCTCTGAGCATCCAGGGGTTTGGCTGGGTTGGAGCATCCACAAGAGCTCATTCACTGCGCTTGTGCTTGGTGCTGGCTGTTGGCTGGAAACCCAGTTGGGGCTGCCAACTGGTGCCTTACTTTGCCTTGCACGTGACGTGTGCCTCTCATACTATCATAGTCAGGTTCCAAGAGCAAGAAAGCAGAACTTATAAATCTCTTAAGGCTCAGCCTTGGAAGTAACATGGTTTCACATCCTCCTCATTCTCTTGTTTAAAGCAAGTTATGGGATCATGACCTCTGGAGTCTGGCACTTCTTTTACGTAGAATGGCTATGTTTATTCACCATGGGAGAGAGCTTCTAAGATGCTTTGCCTACTTGTCCTAGTGTCTGAATTTTGTTCACGTTAAATCCAGATCAGTGAGGATCACCATGACTTCCCTTGGAGGGCTCTTATCCGAAGGAGGTTAAAAGCGTGTGTGGGAGATTGACTCACTGGTGGTGCTTGATGGCTATACTCAAACACTGTCACAAGTGATTATTGCCATGATGCATTCCCTGGGGCTCAGGAGGAGATAGGGACAGAAAAGGCCAAAGAACTCTTAGCCAGGGAGCAGGTGTGTGTGAGAGAGAAACCACTGCAGTGCGTCTAACACCTTAGTTTTTCTTGTTTTTCTCCTTGAGATTCAGATTTTTTGAAAGTTGGGAGGTGAACCTCCCAATTTCATTGGATGTCAGTAATGTGCAGCAACATGACTCAGTAGAAAACTAGCAGATCAGTCCTCTACAACGTATTTAAACCTAAATTGCTGTATCATTAGCAGTAGGAGTTAATTAAGACATTTGAGGTAATTAAATGCATTTACCTTCCTACCTGCTTGCAGAATCTATTTTATTTATTAACATAGCCGAGATGATGCATTAATGATACTTTCAGAGTAATGACTAGTGCTGTTTTGAAGCTTATAGCATGGTCTAAAATTAGTGAAGTGTAAGAGCATGTATGATCAAATTTATTTATAGCTGGTGGTGACATTATACATTAATTAAGCTATATTCCAATTTATGGATGCTCTTTGAAGGAACAGCATTTTTGGGATAAATATTGGACTGGAGACTTTACACTTGCTATAAGTGAGCGAGTGTACACTTCCTGCCTAACATAGAGAAACGTGTAATTGGAAGGTAATGGAAGGTAATGTCCATGTCACTTATACTCTTTGAGCCCCAGTTAACTCATCTTCAGAAAGATGACAGTGGCACTTGTCTTAGGCCTTGTTTTGAAGATTAGATCCATTAATGTATACGAAGTGCTTAAAATGGTGCCTGGCCCGGAGTAGGTGACATTTTGATGGTGGCGCTGGTTGTGATCACTTGTTGTCAGCTAGCAGACAGGGCCCTTCCTGTTTCCTCCCTTCTGTTGTCATCAAAATGAAGTTAATGGCTCCTCCTTCCAGACCATGCTCGATCACTGGATTTTTATCCCTTGCTTTTTCTAGAAACTCATCTCAGTTTCTGGCCAATTTTTTTTTAATCACCAATAATGAATGAATCAGCATTTTCTAAAAAGCAGCTGTAATGAGATATAATGATCTCAGTGCAGTGAGCATATTTACTCTCCAGATGTCCCTCGTCATGGGTCTTATTTACGTTCTTATTGGAGTCTACTCACAATTGGAGTGATGAGACACTTTTAAAGTGGCCACCGTTCAAGGTCGGGCAGCCATGCTTTGTTTATCCTTTGGAACTACCCCTGTGGGGTGAAGTGCATGTGACCTGTGGGTAGGCAGGAGGTCAGAGACGTCTGGCAGATCCCTGGAGGGCAAGCAGAGCACTGTGGTGATCACGGACTTTCCTTCCTACTCCTCTGCTGCTCTGAGCACCAGAGCAGGGGACTGGTGACAGCTGACCTGGAAAGGATTGAGACTTACATGCACCCATGTACCTTTGCAGGGGTCAGGCCCTTGGCCAGTGTTCATGGCCTCTACCATTTTTATTAGCCCTTTCCCTACTTCTCTTTCTTCAAACAAATGTGATGTCACCAGCAGGTCTGCGTTTAGTGGTAAAAATGACTGAAGAGTCTCCTGGGAAGGCAGGTGACTTGAGATTATTTTTCATTTTCACCCATATTCTTACAACTCTGGGATTCATCATAATAGGGTTGAATTAGTAAGTAATTTAATATCACGTGGGTTTGTCTCGGCTGTCCTTCTAAGGTACAGCTTCTGTATCTAGCTGTCATTTTTAGAACTTCAGATAACTTTTTGAGGACCCTGTGTTCCTATAAATTATTTTTCTAAATGAGGCAC